TTTTTCATTATGCCCCCCCCCCCGCATAATGAAAGAAATTGTTTAAAACATTATGATATCATATATACAAACTAGGGATAGGAAGAGGTGGACTAATTGCATGGGCCTCCTCGATCACCTGACTTATCCATTTTAGATTTTTTTTATGCGGTATGGTGTTAAAAATAAGGTTTAAAAAAAGAAACTTATGAATTAAGAGGGGCACTCGAAGTGGCGGTACGAGAGAAGTTAATTAAGTCAACCGGTCCTTTTGTGAGGATAGGTAATAAATTCAGTTTTAAAAGATGCATTTTATGTACTCAAAACGATGGCGGATTTTTGAACATTTTTCTAAAATAACTTAAGTGTATGCAGTACTTGCACGATATAATCTTTTTTAAGTTTTAGTTTGTGTAATGTAAATTCTAAAGAACCGTTTAGTAATATATTCTGACTTTTTAAAGTTATTAAATCACAAAAGAATAAGAATGCCATGCAATCAAGTGAAATTAGTCAAGAAAGATAAGAATTTGGGCGTATAATAAATTTAACTTTCTAAACAAGTCTTGAAAATCGTTCTGTAAAAAAATTAACATTCACGGTCAACGTATCCTCAAAAACTTATGGTCAAGAAAAGTTAAACCAATTTAATCCTACACGCTTTCTTCATTTTTGAAAAAAAAAAAAAAAAAAAAAAATCTTTGTTTTATTTTAATTTACAAAGTTTGGATTTGGCAGCTTCACATTTATTAGAGCAAACAGACCGATTGTTTCCATGGCTAGCTAAGTGAAATTATTTAAAAGTGATAAGAATTGGCTATAACTCGATAATTTTTCGAAGAAAACATATAGCTTATATCGCTGAAAAGCTTAAAAAATGGCACTTTTTATAAAGTCATGGCCAACTGGGTTTCCATTTAAAAAAACATAAGTTTGTGTCATATGTCAAAAATGATAGGCTTTAGAAAGAATCGGAGAACACAGTCTCATTAAAGATGTGATTATCTACAACTTTTATCTGAAAACTTTTTGTCTAAAATAGTTTATAATGGAATTAGGGACAATTTTTAAAATAGCCGAAATTTGTTTTTTTCTAAATATCTAGATAAGCCATTGAACTTTTTTAAAAATCTGAAAGGCGCATATTTATGACCCCACAAAACTGCAATTCTTTCCCCATTTAACCGACTCTCTATCTCCAGTAGTTTCCGAGATACCCATAGAAAACATCGTAGGAAACTCACCCTGTATATATATTTTGTATTATTTCAGACCTTCAACTTTAAGATTTTTTTTTAGAAATTTGATTCAAGAGGTCAGATTTGAGTAATTCCTTATTTAATGAGCAGTTAAAAAGATCAGTAAGTTCTCAGTACTCAGTGCTAAACAGTATTTTTTATATTTTTGAAACAAGTAAGTGATAAATTTCTAGTTTTTATTTGTTTTTTTTTTCAATTTGTTTGACAAATTCGACTTTCTTGGTAGGGATATATTTACCGAGCATTTTTAATTTTTCTAAGTCAGTGGATATAGAGATATGCATATTTTTATCAATATTGTTTATGTTTTTCGTCAATGCAATATTAGTAAAAGTAGGTATATTATACCTATCTAAAAGTCTACAATTTAAGACCCATTAATGTTTCTGTTGATTATAACCTATTACTGATGTATTATTGTTAACATAAAATTGCATAAAATTAATAATGTTGCTAATGAAATTGTTATTTATTGCAAACATTATCTATTTTTTGCTATATTATTTTAGCAATAAATCAGTTAATCTTCTTCTTACAGTCCCATACTTTATATAGAGCGTCGGCTACCTCTCGCATGTACTTGTGATGTGTGTTATCAGTGTTTCACAAGTACACGGGACCTACACTTTATCGCCGAATCCGAACGGTACTATTTGAGAGGCTGTACAAGGCAAATATACTCAAGGTGGTTTGTCACTGCCTTCCTTCAGGTGGTAGCCCGTTGGGCGCTCTATTTAGATAAATAAATATTTTTATTTAAATAAATAAAGCGACCGTATTGGCTGGGGATCGAACCGCTCCGCAGATCGACACGCTAATGGCCGATTTCCACTAGGCGCTCAAGTCACAGTACGCTCACTGTCCGCTCACGGTCAAAATTAATTATTCAATGTAATTTATACGGAGCATCCACATTTGCAAATCCGCTCACGGTACGCTCATGCTCTTTGACCGCGTAATTTCTCGGAGACAATATTTTGAACAGATCGAGACCTGACTGTCGGATGACTGGACGGCAGTGTGAATATAGTGCGATCAGGTGCCGGCCAAATTCTGTTCTGATTCTGCGTTTGGGGTAAATACTTTCTTCCCTGTGAATGTGTTTTTCAAATTTTCAATATAAAATGGACGAACAAATGATAGAGGCAGTGCGTGACAATGCAGAATTGTATTGAATTGTTGAACGCAAAAATTCGAAAAATCAGAAAAAGAAAAAGATCATTTAGATCTATTTTTCGATAGTATTAAGGCAACGGTGCGTAATTTTTCACCCGCCGATATTCACACGACTAAAAAACAAATATTTAATTATGTGTCCGATATTGAAGACAAATATATTTGGATGCGTGGCCGCCCTAATAATGATCGAGGCTGTGCTGATCAACCTGCTTCAAATTCCATTTCCCGTCATACTTTTAATACGATCGAGCAGCCCCAAAGATACCAACAAGACTCCGTCCATGATTTCCAATCCACTTCCAGTTTCATTTGCATCGAGCAGCCGCAAAGACATCTCAAGACTCCCTCCACATTGCTCAATCCACTTCTGGTCGAACTTTTAACAGCATCGAGCGTCTCCAAAGACACCAACAAGACTCTCTTCATGATTTTCAGTCTACTTCTGGTCCTAGTTTTAATAGAATCGAGCAGCCCCAAAGAAAATACCAAAAATTACCACTTCAAACAAACACTGATGCTTCTGTAACTACGTCTACCCAACTTTCTTCAGCAGCGTCATCATATTATGAAGATTTCTCGTGTGAAGAACAAATATAATTTCACAGCTTTGTAGGTATTATTAAAAATAAAAGGGTTTTGTAGGTGCCTATAATCCGATTTGTATTCAATTTGGTTTTTAACAATAATTTTATTTATTAAAATAAGTTATTTTCTTACCTTAAACAAACACATAATTTCTCCAGTGGTGTGATAGATTCTCGAAAGGTGGTATTTTTTCTTATCAAGTCCGACGAAATTTTATTTAAAATATAATAAAATGCGCATTTCGTCATACAAAAGTATTGAAAAAAATTCATTTCGTCATCCACAAGTTCTTTATGTAAAGTGAAAAATTCACCTTCGGTTTTTTTAACATATCATGGACCCATATCATCCGTTTCTTTTTATTTTCATACTCTTCTTCATCCAAACATATTGCAATAGCAGCCAATTCACTATTCGAAAAGCTTTTAAACATTTTTTAAAATCAGTTTTACAACTTGGCGACCACACAAAATTGAACGACATTTGATTGAAGAGTGTAAATACTGTCGAAAAATCTTGACCGTGAGCGGACCATGAGCGTACTGTGACCTGATCGCCTAGTGGAAATCGGCCTTAACGCTGGAGCTACGGCCGGCCACATCGTTCAGTTAATAAGTCAGTTAGTAAGTTATAACAAAATAGAAAGTTTAATGGATAATGGTGTTTTGAAACATAGATACAATATAATTTTACCAATATTGTATTGTCGTAAAATTAACAATATTACTAATACATCTCAAATTAGTACTTTCCTGAACGTTACATTAGCAACGTTTCAATAATATTATGTTTTTCAACCTTGCACTGCAATGTAATTTGGCGGAAGATTAAGTTACCCTGCCACCTTGCATAAACCTTTCTACAATGAAAAAAGCAATGTTACACCTTGCTTTGCAAAGTTTTGGCAATGTTCAAGCAATAAATTTTGCTTGTTGGGCCTATATTATAAATACTGCCTGCCTCAAGAGTTTAAAAAGTGTATTTAAAAAGATATATCTCGCTCTTTAGTGATATCTAGGTAATAGTTGATATTATTAATTATTTATAATATACTGTATGATCAAAAAAAAAACAGCGCAAAGTTGGCTTGGAAATGATGATCGATAACATACTGCTTTTTGAACAAAGTGTCACAATATGACGTTGCCAGATCTATTGTTTTACATCACTTGACGTTTAAAGTCATAGGCAGCTCTTTAAAATCAAGAAAAATATACGCTTTAAAACTAAATTTTCAATAACTTAATAAACGATTTATTTTAGGTATAGGAACATGTATAGTCAAAAAGTAACGAAGTGAAAAGCCTTTTGACTAGTGAAATAAAAAGTGGTTTTCCATTTGAAAAAAATGATTAATGATAATTTTTTAATCGCTCAATTTCATGACAGCTGCGGCCATTATTATATGACATTCCAATAATTTAATTTTTGAAATAGATAGCCACATGTCTTCTCTTTATAGCACAGTGGCTGTGGTAATATCTAAATTTGATCTATAGACTATACACATATTTTTGACAAGTAGTTTTTTTCGTCAAAAAATTTTAAATATTTTTTCTCAAAAACGGTTAATGTAAAGTATAGAGTGTTTAATATCAAAATTCATAAAACTTTACAGGGAATTTGGGGGATAAAAATGGGGACACCCATTTAAAATAAGAAAGTTACTGTCAACTTCCGGTATTTCCGGAAGTGCCGCCATATTGAAAATATTTTCAATCGATAGATCTCGTTGTAAAACAATGAAGTGCAAAAAATCTCCGGTCTAGATATTGTAGTTCTCTAGAAACTTCTAATACACGCTCAGCCTGGGACTCCCTGTATATGATTATACATAATATACTTAATTAACTCTTAGCAAAAAGTACAACAGAACTCTCTCTCTCTCTCTCTCTCTCTCTCGGTATAGTGAGAACAAGGTGGGAACCTCTGTTCTAAATCATTTATGTAATATTTGCGACAGTTCTGTGTCCCTTAATACAATTACAAATTACATACTTATGAAGCCGGTGATATAGTAATAAAAGTTGATTCCAAAAGTTTTTGTAATGTATTTTACAGCATTCTCAATTTTTGTACTACCAGATTCCAATGCCATTGTCTCTAAAATAACATTAAAATGTTTTTAAATATAAATATTTCTTGCCATATAATAGAGCTCAAACACACTGACGACGTGGCAGTGACCAGCCAACGGCCATGCCATTAAATCAAATGATAAAAATAATTCTGTTTTATACAAGACGGTTAAAATGGTATTTTATCGTCCACCGAAAAGATTAATGTAGAAGGTAGTGATGTGTCGGTATTTCAGCAACGCGATTTTGGAGCAGTATTTTTTTGTAACGTCGTGTCGCGCTCCACAACGAATCAGGAACCTGTTACTGAAGAACGACGATCATAATGACGACAAAATTATTAATTATTTATAAGTAGCAAATAAATTATTTATAGTCGCACTTGAAGTTAGCTTGAACCGTAGTAACCGCATAGCGACGTGTTTAGCTCCAGCCGTCGAGATTTCGTCGGTCGCCAACAGTAGTATCTGGAACTGGTATGTCCGTAGCGCCCGCGATCTCGATCGGGACGTGTTCGCTCCAGCCGTCGCGCTCCTAGAGTTGTAGTTCCCTGTCGCGAACAGAAGTAACTGCTGTAACTGGGCATCGACGCTCGACCTCGGCGGCGACCTATTTCGCTCCAGCCGTCGCGCTTCTAGAGTTTTAGTTCCCTGTCGCGAACAGAAGTAACTGCTGTTAGTGTGTTCTGTGAACTGCTGTAACTGATTATCGACACTTGACCTCGGCGGCCACGTACTTCGTTCCAGCAGTCGCTGGAGCGCTTCTAGGGTTTCTAGGTCTTCTAGGTATATATATATATATATATATATATATATATATATATATATATATATATATATATATATATATATATATATATATATATATATATATATATATATATATATATATTACGTCAAGGCAACAAAATATCCTGTTGGTATCTTCTGCATAATCTGGATATTTAAAAATTTCCCACAATCCATCTCGACAGTTGTTTGTTTTTGCATCGTGTATTATTCAGTTCTTTGATTTAGTGAAATTCGAGGTGAACTCGGTCGTTTGTCGATATTGAATGGGCTTAAAAATGACTGAAACTAACAAAACTGGTTGAGTTTGACTTATGTTTTTTCTTATACTCATAGTTCTAGCCTTGTTCTAGCAGAAATTCTATCCTAACCTCAACTAATGTCGAAAAACGACGAACGACTCAGGGTCTTACAATGAAAAATTTGTGACAAAATTATAGGTGAAAATTTGTTGAAAAGGGCTTGTTCTTTATCCCTAAACCCATTTTCGTGTTTGATCTATTCAAACAGAAATCCAATTTTTGTGTTTAAATTGTAAGTTTCTGGAATGTGTGGTGTTAGACATTATACCTGTATCCTGTGTGCTCACTTTGATGTAAATTGTTGCTGCTAGACATAAACTGCTAGACTCCATTAAGGGTAGTACCGTATGATCGAATAAAAACGGCGTCAGCGATGGCTATAAAATGAAGATCGCTGTCAATTTATATGTAAAATTATATGGGAAATGGCATCTATCTTCATTTCCAAGCCAACTGGACGCCGTTTTTCATAAAATCGAAAAAAACGGCGTCAGAGGTGGCTTGGAAATGAAGATTAAGTTATGAAGATTAAGAAGTTATTTTGTATGTAAAATTATATGGGGAATGTCATCGATCGTAATTTTCAAGCCAACTGAACGCCGTTTTTTTTCGATGGTACAGCATAAATTGGAAGCTCTTAACTCATACTAATTAACTTCTAAATTTTGACGCAAAATTCATTGACATAATATGTAGGTATAATTTAGAGCTGTTAATAAAAATATCCAATGAATAACGTCAAAATGTGACTAAATAAAACTAAATCGCGAACGTTTTTACTATAAACTAAGGATGAAGTAAGTATTGTCAAATAACAGTCCTCATATAATGTCCTAAAAATATTCTATAATGCTCCCAACATCATCCTTGTATTATCCTAGAAATATCCTAAATAATCGTAAAAGACTTGCCTACTTTTTTTGTCCCATCTGGATATAAATATCCTACTCTAGTTTTTGGATATCCCTAAGATATTTACTATATTCTTGGTGGATATCCTCAAGATATCTATAGGATTGTGCTGTGTTATATGGGTTAATACAAGCAGTAGAAATGAAATACCTACGAAAAGTGCTAGGGGTTACGAGGATGAATAAACTACGCAATTCTGATATTAGAGAGCAGCTGAAAATCCAGCCAGTATTAACAACTATCGAAAACTGCCAGTTGAGATGGTACGGACATTTGAAAAGACTCAACAAAGAGAGACCAGTAATGGGAGGCAAAAAGGCAGGAAAAAAGGAAAAAGGGTAGACCTGCAACTACTTGGGATCAAAATGTTGCAAAATTACTTAAAACTAGAGGGATCGGCTGCGAGCAAGCATGGCCCTGGACAAGAAGAAGTGGCAAAATTTTATTTATGGAAAGTAGCTACTAGAAGCCTACACCTTTAGAAGTCGGAACCTCGGTTTTTGTATGCGGTGTTTGGTCGCGGTATTTTTCTGGAACGGTCGCTCTTGTAACGCGACTCATGTGGAACCGGTATTCCCATCACTAGTAGAGGGTGTAGAGAGTAAATGAATTAATTTCGGTAGACGATAATGCAATTTTATCGACGCGTCGTGTATAAAACAATATTTTTTTTCCATAGCGAGTTACGTTTTAAAAAATATTGAGAAATTATTATTTCAAGGAATTTATTACGAGTAGAAAAAATATTGTGCTGGGTTGGCGTTGGTTTCTATGTAATATGACAAATAAATAAAGCTGGTCTAAATAAGATACCAATTAATAATATTAAAGATTTTGTTTTTTTATTTACATTTAACTTACTGGGTCCGAAATCCTTAAGATCCACAGCATTATGTTCGTTAAGGCAATAATTAAGGCTAATATTATAACCACTGGCAAATTCCTGCATTTTTTCAGAATCAACTGGTGGAGTACTGAAAAAGAACATAAAATGAAAACACACTCTTCTAGATACATCACCAAAATTGTTGAATATAAAGTACAGAGTAAATAAATAAATAAATATATGCCTTTATTGTCAAAAAATTTTACAATTTGTAGACAAAGGTAAAGTAAACAAACAAACAAACAAAAGAGAATACAAAACATTATACAAGTACCGCGTATCACACTAAGAATAGCTCTCGGCTGTATCTCGGAATGTATTGGCCGTAGAACCTGAGGAAAAAAATATTTATAACTCAAGAGGCAATGAGAAATTGCTGGAAATTATTTTCAAGTTTGTAGAGTGGCCGCTAGAGGGCGCAACTGCTACGGCAAATAAGAAAATGCAATTTTTACAAAATTCTGCCTAGGTAAGGGCTACTATGTATAATAGCTTCATAATCTTTAGAAAATTTCGGACTTTTTTTGTCAGAATCATGAAGGTCCGGACTGGATGACCGGAATCTAACAAGCGAGGGCTCGTTTAAAAGAGCGTTTCGTACTCTATATAAAACCATATAAACAATAATAATATGCCTTTAACAGTAGATGCTAGAGGGCGCTGTCTTACAATTTAACAAACAATGCGGTATTTCCCAAAAAAATAAATACAACGGTATATGGCATTTCAGCTGATTGTAAAGAGAAATAAAAGTTTAAGAAGTCAGTGAAAACCGCATCTTGATATTTTTTTTCAATCCGAAGATATTAACAAAAATATAATAAATACGAAAAAATTTGCCCTTAACTATCTTATTTTTATAACACCGTATCAGTAGCCCGCTAGATTATGCCCATTTTAACAACAAAATAAGATAGAAATAGTTAGTTTATTTTAATATCAACGAAATACCAGAATACCATAATACCAGATGTATTAATATCTAATAATTAAGATATTAATAACAGTGAACAATAAACGATGATCCAGTGAAGTCGTGGTAGGCTTTGGAAAAAAGTTGCTTTTGACGTAATAGTATAAACGTCAATTTGTTATCAGATCAACATTTTGATAGTCTTAGCAGCGTTTTTTATGTTTTAATTGCTTTTTCAAAATGCCTTTATTATTTGAAGTAGTTGAAGTAGTTAGTGTTGTGAAAAAGCAATCAAAAGATAAAAGACTATCAAAATGTTGATCTAATAACAATTTGACGTTTATACTATTACGTCAAAAGCAACTTTTTTCCAAAGCCTACCATGACTTCACTGAAGCATCGTTTCTTGTTCACTGTTATTAATACCTTAATTTTAGATATTAATACATCTGGTATTATGGTATTCTGGTATTTCGTTGATATTAAAACAAACTAACTGTTTCTCTATCTTATTTTGTTGTTAAAATGAGCATAATCTAGAGGGCTAGTGATACCGTGTTGTAAAAATAAGGTAATTAAGGGCTTATTTTTTGGTATTTATTATAATTTTGCTATTATCTTCGGTTTAAAAGAAGATATCAAGATGCGGTTTTCGCCGACTTCTTAAGCTTTTACTACTCTTTACTATCAGCTAAAATTACATATACTATTGTATTTAATTTTTTTTGAAAAAAAACGCGCTATGTTTGTTAAATTGTAAGAAAGTGCCCCCTAGTGTCTACGTTCAAAACCTTATTATTATTATTTTTATGGTGTAATATAGAGTAAGAAACGCTCTTTTAAACGAGCCCTCGCTTGTTAGATTCTGATCATCCAGTCCGGAGTTATTAACATTTAAATAAATATAGATCTAACCTTCCCCCACCACTTTATTTTAGCAGATAGGGGAAAATGGTGTTAACAAAAAATATCCAAAATTTACTGAAGATCATGAAGCTATTATTTATACTACTCATTATCTAGATAAAATTCTGTAAAAATTCTATTTTCTTATTTTCCATAGCAGTTGCGCCCTCTATCGGCCATTTTACAAACTTGAAAATAATTTCCAGCAATTTCTCATGGCCCCTTTAGTTATAAATATTTTTTCCGTAGGCTCTACGGCTAATACTTTCCGAGATACAGCCGAGAGCTATTCTTAGTGGGACACCCTGTACATTGTCAGTCTTATTGTTTAAAATAAACATTTAAAAATGTTTACAGTGTCAAGGAATGAAAAATGTAAAAATAAGATTCAAAAATATTTAGTAAGTTTATAGTAAATATCAATGACATCTATTTGTATGTATTGATATTGATATCTATTTGTATTTGTATGACTGCTATTTACCAGTGACACCAATGTCATTGGTAAATAGCATATACAAGGATAGTACTAATAGCAAACAGTAGACCAGTGTTTATAAGATCAAATTCGATTATTAAAATAAGTCATTTACGGCGTAGAAAGCCTTGTCTAGTAAATAAGATTTCAATGCTTTGCGAAATAAAGAAAATGATGTTATGGATTTGATTTCAAATGGCAGATGATTGTGCATTTTTTTCGAGTTGTATAATATTGAACTTTTAACTAACTCTGAGCGTGGGGTAGGTAGATAAAGATCTTGCTCCGCGTTCCTGAGTGGATAAGTGTGAGGTGGCCCCTCTTGAGAAGCTGATACATGCTTACGTATTAGGCAAACGGATTCAAATATAAATAAGGAAGGAAGAGTTAATATTTTTAATTTAAAAAAAAAGCCTGGCAATGAGAATGAGTTCTGCTCTTTAATCCCAGTGAATATCGAACAACTCTCTTCTGGAGCTTGAAAATGCGGTCAAATTGAGTCGCACAATACGTACCCCAGAATGGAAGGGCATATCTGAGGTGCGACTCAAAAAGTGCATAATAAACAGTTCTAGTCACTGACAAGTTAAGCTCCTTAGAAACAGATCTTAATGCAAAACAGGCAGAGCTTAATTTTTTCGACAAAGCGTCGATATGCATGTCCCATTTCAGGGAATTGTCTACAACAAGCCCTAAGAATTTTACAGATTTTACATCAATTGTGGTGTTGTTAAGTACAAGAGGCTGCAGTGAGTCTTTATACGACAAAGCTTTAGTTTTAGAAATGTTGAGACTCAGGAGGTTCGAATCGCACCAAGACTTAATGGTGACTAAGTCATTTGATATAATCCTATGAAGTGCCGTTCCGAAAATATCGGAAGTTGCCAGTAACTTTCTTATTAAAATTAATTAAAGGTGTACTTGAACTCAACACTTAGTGAGTTCACTCATTTTAAAGTGAATAAACTATTAAAATCGATCAAAATCCTACTCAAGGCGAACCATAATGAGTAAAAAAGGAGTCTTTAGTCCAATCCCGATTGAGTGAAAACACTCAACACGTAGTGAATTCACTCATTTTTAAGTGAATGTATACTCAAAATTCTACTTTACGTTTTAAGTGTACTGTTTTAAGTAAAAAAGGAGTCTTTCGTCTAATCTCGATTGAGTGAAATCACTCTTTTGTGTGCTTTTCACTGTGAGAATTGAAAATTCACTCAGTTCTGTAGAGTGGAAATTTCACTCAATCGGGTGTGGACAGAAATTGAGAAAGTATTGAGTGAAATCTGAGTGAAATTTCACTCATTTTTTTACAGTGTAGAGGAGCAAAATGGAGAGCTACAAGAACAAGTTAGGGTAACGAAGGATACTCTCCAGAAATATGAAAATGTGTGTTGGGCTATGTTGATGAAACTGTATGTGTGTGTGTGTGTGTGTGTGTGTGTGTGTCCCCTTGTAAATTTATTATATTATGTGACATTAATGATGTAAATAAATTATATTATTAGAGTAATTAGATGATTCGCTTCGCATTCGCTTTCATTTTAGTTTATTACTCAAAACTCTTCTCTTGTAAATTTATTATACCGAGTGTTGCATCGTCGAGCGGGACATAGGAAATCCCATGTAAATTTTAATGGGGTCAATTACTGGCTTCCCTAATTATTTTAGAGAATATTTCTATTAAGGTTTATTGAAGAGCACTAACACCCACATTCAAAAGAATAACTTTAGATATTTTTGATTGGCCCGTTTACGAGTTATCGCCGATTTCTTTTTAAATATTTCTCCTTTCTTATGGCCCTGTATTTGCTTATGAGCACCAGTCAGGGTAAAAGATAACTGTCAAATGAAGTTGTTATTTCAGAAATTTACCTCTTTAGTGCTTTATTATTATTGAAAACTCATTCCTACATCGGAAATCTTAAAGATGTATTTATAAATACAAATTAATATGAATTAAAGTATAATAAAGTAATCAATTACAAGGTTAATTATAGTATTATTACAATATTCAATAACTTATTAATTTAGGTACTATGTATTAAATTGTTAGAAATTTAGGATATAAGAGGTTCAAATATTCCTCCATCGACTGCTAGACAATAACCCAGGCGATCATAAAATTCTCTTCTTATACATTCGCTAGTTGGTAAACTAAAATTCTATTGCATTCGGCAGAAATAGCATTTTTAACTCGTCTAGATTTGGGTATTTTTTATCCTTGTATATCCTGTTTTTTAAATGGCCCCAGAGAAAGAAATCATTTGGCGAAATATTAGGAGACCTTGCTGGCCAATTTACTGTATGATTTAGGCCAATAACGTTTCCGTTAAAACTATTGTTTAAATATTCCCGAACAGCCGGGGTACTATGTGCCGGGCAGCCATTCATTTGGTACCAAACTTCCTGATTTTCCCTAGTGGCATCATGTAAAGCAGGTAAAATATGATTTTCGAGTAGTTCCAAATAATATTCTGCATTTAAATTTCGCTTAAGAAATAATGGCCCGATAATATTGTGTCCGAATATCCCTGCCCAAACATTTATTATACTTTCTGTGGATATTGCGTCCTTGTTTCGACAAACCTGTGTTGGTTTTCTTTGTTCCAATATCGATAATTCTGAACATTGGGTTCATTATTTAAGGTAAACGTGCATTTTCAGTGAAACATATGTTTTTTAAAAATTCCCTATCCGTGTTTGCTCTTTCCATCATATCGAAACAAAACGCCTGCCGCCGTATTTCGTCCCCATCTCGTAGCTCTTAGTGCTTTTCATATTTGAAGGAATAGTATTTATGTCGTTTCAAAATTCGAAACGCTGTAGTATGATCTATTCCTATTTCATCCTCAAGTTTCCTTGTGCTGATCTTTCCATCCTTCTCTTCCACGCGCAATAAAACTTCTAAGTCGGTATTATTTCTTGCATCTTCTCTTTGTTTCTGCCTTGCTTCACATCTGCAGTTATTTATTAGGATACCTTTGGTCTCAAATCTCTAGATATTCCTTGCGATTATAGACTTTTCAGGTATCGGTCTATTCGGATACAGAGCAGCAAACATGTCCGACACCTTTTGGTAACTATTTTCTTGATTGTATTGATTTAATCATCAATACTTTTTCTTCGGTAGTGTAATTCATGGCTAATATTTTCGATGTAGGTATGAGTTTTTAATAATAATAATAAAGCACTAAATAGATAAATTTCTGAAAAGACAACTTCATTTGACAGTTATCTTTTACCTTAACTGGTGCTCATAAGTAAATACAGGGCCACAAGAAAGGAGAAATATTTAAAAAGAAATCGGCGATAACTCGTAAACGGGCTAATCAAAAATATCTATTATTCTTTTGAATGTGGGTTTTAGCGCCCTTCAATAAACCTCAATAGAATTATTCTCTAAAATAATTAGGGAAGCCAATAATTGACCCCATTAAAATTTACATGGGATTTCCTATGTCCCGCTCGACGATGCAACACCCGGTACGTGACATTAATGATGTAAATATATTATTAAAGTAGTTCGATGAGTGTCCATTTTCATTTGATATTACTCAAAATCTCTTGTGTTACTTGGTTGTTACCTATAAAATGTAGAGGGAATTATAGCATTTTAATTCCCTTAATAATGTCCGAAGAGAGATTTGACGATAAGCTTATATTAATTCAGTAAGAAATAAATAAAAATATATCAGACTTTATTGGTGTAGTATTGTATATTCAAAACATAGAATTAAAGATCATCTAGTGAACAAATATTAATTTTCACTCAAAAGCTTATAGGCAACAAAATCTCGAATTTAACTTAAAATTGTTATGAAAAGATGTGCTTTAACATATGGCGATTTCAAATTTTAATTCGAATCTGACGTCATTCGTGCGAGAGAGATGGAGCTATACATGCTCATCGGCACATACCATGTTTTCTTCTACTATGATATATACATCTCAAAAGTGGCTCGTGGCTCACCCCTATAACTTTTTTATCTTTTTCGATAAAAAAAATGGTATAATAGTGTATGACATAAGGATTCGTTGACGTTTTCAACTGTTTTCGGTCACTTCCCGTTTCATCGGAAATGAATCCCCAAAACTTTTGATTTTTATATGACACTGTGCTAATAATGTAATGTCCGTTTAAAACAAAAATATGCAATTATTTTGGCCATGCTTGTAAAATCTTAAAGTTTAATAAAGAATATTAAACTTTTTCTTACTTACTTAGCCGTATAGGATCCTTTACTTCTTTGGCCATCCAAGATAATCGTATAGTTTTTATCGACAAAAACAACTTGTCTTGCCCTAGCTTCCATAATAATAGCGGTATTAGATGTGGTATTAACCATCGCTAATTGGGTTGGTTTTTTCTATAAGAAAAAAATATTATAAAATATAATCTAAACTATCAACATATGACACACATTATACAGGGTGCTACAAATTCGGGGTACGAGCATTGGTATCTCGGAAACTGTAATAGATACAAAGATGGTTAAATTGGGGCAAAGTTGCCCCCTCCTTGGAATGTTCACAAAGATGCCTTCAAAAAAGTTTTAAAAATTTCAAGGATTGCTGAGTTAAAAAATGGATTTCTCTGAAAATTTCACACCTCTACTTTTCAACCAATAACATGCTTTAATGTTGACTAGTTACCATGGCAACTGAAAAAATTTCCGGAAATTTTTTCGAGGCGCCACGAAACGTTAGTGGAAATTTTTTGACAGTTGAAAAGGTAAACATAAGATCTACAATCATAATGTGAATGAACTACAATGTCTATATATTGAAATATTACCCATTTGAGTTTTAGCATTTGATGTAACTAATTAAAAATATAATAATATTTGTTAATATTATTAACAAATTGAAATTATTTTAAAATGTCATGTTGGATTAATATTTTTTTTTCAAATTTAGGTGTGAAATTTTCTTACCGAATACCACGCAAGCTTAAATTATTCCTGGAAATTTTCTTTCGGGCACGAATATTTTACGAAAATTATCGTAAAAATAATTTTCAAAATATTCGTGCCCTCAAAAAAATTTCCGAAAATAATTTAAGCTCTTGTGATATTATAAGTGAAAATAAATTTTATTTTTTCCTGTCGTTAGTTTTTAGAAAATCAAAAAACTAATTGCACATTCTCATAGACACTTTATTTGGGCTATCTGATAGTATTTTTAGATTTTCAAATTAGCTGATAATTTCTGAGATACAATAGTTTGGTTTGGTAGTAAATGAAGAATAAAAGCAAATGGATTGATAACCACTTACCTATTATTTATAAATTCTCAAGAGGGTTGTAAGTAACAAGACTAAAGCTTCATTCAGAACATCCTAATTAGTGGAATAAATTAGTGGTTTCAATTGCACTTTATACTTTTTAGTTTACGATAATTCACAATGTTTAAAAAACACAATTAAAATTAATAAATTAATAGAATATCCTAGCAACAGCTAGGGTTAGTTAGTTGTATCCATAGAGAAAGCCTAAGATTTAGATAAAAAACAATCAACTTTTGATTTCTAACCACACTTTCTCTTGAGGGAAGAAAATCAAAGGCCAAAATGACATTTCACGCAAATTTTGAAGTATAATTTAGTCGAAAAGTTAAGAGTGATAACTTTTTCTACTAATTGAAATTGAACTAATTTTATTCGAATCACTAAAAGTACTTGGAAGAAAATTATAATTAAATCGAAAGATTATTAAGACTTTAACACCCTGTAACTACGAAATAAAGCAGATCGGACCTATGCATGTTGATATAAAAAATAAATCATATTTTTACGTGAGGAATCTCCACACGAGAGATGGCACATGTTTTTTGAAACACCCTGTATACCTATGTATTAAATATGGTCAGAAATCCATAATCTAAATACAGGGTGGCGCCTCTCATACGCCGCGGAAGCTCCAAGGAGAACTGTAATTTATCTCGAAAGGAAATTTTGGCATATATGTAGGTTAACTGACAGCATTTTATAAAAATATATATAATTGTACAAGGTGTCTCCAAAAGAAGTTACACATCAAAGTTATGTTTTTTCTAATGGAACACCCTATATATTAATTGATTTTCGGATTCAAGGGAAAAATATAAATCTGAGTTTTATTAAAGAAGCATATACCTAAAATCTAAGGATTTTGACATATTTCACATTTTGTGAAAATGAAGAGTAAATTTTAAATTTCGATAACAGCTACCTAAATTTTAGTTGACCTTGTATAGCCTGATATTTAATTACAGTAATCATTGTATGGTAAACTAAATTAAAATTTGATCCGAAAAATTATACAGGGTGAGACAAGAACAGCCAGGTACAAAATTAATACGGAACATTAGTCACTTTTAAAACCAAGTTACTCCTTTATTTTAAATGGAACACCCAGTATATTATTTGGGTGTTCAATAGGGAATTTATATATCTTCAAAATATTATTAAAGTTGCCTACCCCTCAGACAAAGATTTTCCTAGATATTTTAATTTTTATGATTTTGCGTCAGTAGATCTTTATTATTTGAAAAAATCTAGGGTGGCTGTGATATACCTTTTATTAATTTAACAAAAATTAAAGATTGCAGAGTAAAATACTAAACGGTAATAAAAAGATACACGTTTAAAACATATTTTAATTATTGCACAATTAAAACTAGGTATAAACCTATAATTATGTGACAAAAATTAACTAGAAATGAAATGAAATGCTCAAAATGCTTCCTTTCCTGTTAACTGCATAAAATGATTGTCTTTTCAAAAGGATCTTTTCATTTTGAAAGGCATTTATTTGGAGATCTACCTCGAAAAGCAGCTACAATAATTATTTCTCTCATGTTGTCGACAATAGTTGGTAGAGTCTTTAACATATCCCCAAAAAAACCAGACTGGATAAAATCAGGAGCATTTAAGTATTCTATTAATTGGTAAATGCACACTGCATTCACCAACTAATAAAACCATATCAATTCTCTCTGATGTATGATAAGTTTGCATTTTCGGCAAATTTCTGAGACATTTTTTTGTTTGTGAACAAAAAGAACAAGTGACACAAAAAGATAACTAGTTGTTAAAGTTGGACTAATTAGACAGCTATATTGAAGTAACGTCAGACATATCACAGCCATCTAGATTTTATCAAATAATAAAGATCTACTCAGATCAAAAAATCATGTAAATAAAAATATCTAGGAAAATCTTTGTTTGAGGGGTAGGCAACCTTAATAGTATTTTGAAGAGACATGAATTCTCCATTGAATATCGGAATAATATACTGGGTGTTCCATTTAAAATAAAAGAGTAACATGCTTTTAAAGGTGACTAATGTTCAATATTAATTTTGTCTCACCCTGTAGTACTATAAGTTAACTATATATTAGGCTATACCGAGTAAATTACAAATTAGGTAGCTTTTATTGTGATTTAAAAATTGTTGTTCTTTATTTTTAGAAAATGTTAAATATGTGAAAAACCTTATATTTTTGTCATATACTTCTCTTATAAAACTTACTTTTATTTTTCTCTCAGAATCCGAAAATCAATTAATATACAGGGTATCCCAGAAATAAGTGCAAGTATTTTAAGGGGTGGTAAGAAACATATTTTCTCTTTATCGTTTTTCAAATAAGTAAGAGTTATTTTACTTTAAAAATTTCCAAAAAAAATTTTTTTTGCTAAAATTTTAAGAACCACTGGACCTTTTCTGGATTTTCTTTCTTGCAAATTTAATATAATACCTATGTTGCCATATTATCAAGAAATTATGTTTTTTAACTAAAAACTAAAAAAAAATTCAAAAAATTTTTCAAAAAATTTGTAATTTGAAATTTTTTTTTTCGCAAAGAAACCTCACAGGCGTGTTTCTGTGGTTGAACTATACTACCAGTTAAAATACTTGCACTTATTTCTGGGATACCCTGTATAGGGTGTTCCATTACAAAAAATACAACTTTGATATGTAACTTTTTCGGGGACACCCTGTAGAACTCTCTCTATTTTTAAAAAGTGCTCTGAATTAACCTTAGGAATTAACCTACAAAATTTCATTTCAATACAAACTGTCATTCTCCTCGGAGTCTCCGCGGCGTATGACAGGCGCCACCCTGTAAATCTGTAAAAAAAATTACCGGTGTTCCATATAAGCACAGCTGATTCTCTTTAGGTGTTGTTTTCCCGCATTGTTCAGGTGCTGGATAATTATATGTCAGATCACGTTTTTCTCTAATTGTTTTTTCCATGTGGTCAAAATCCAGAGTGAAAGCTACAAACAGACAAAAAAAATTGGTTAATTAAATATACCACCACTATTTCTGCCCAAATATTAATTAATTACATACTTAATTGTGTTGGTGAAGAAATTATTCTAAATAAATGTGGATTTGAATCAGAGATCAATATAATAATAAATTATGAATGTAAACGTCTCTTTGTTATAAATAAGCTTTCGTCAAAAAATCAAATAAAATTTATAGTGTTACTTTTTACCACATACATACAGCCGTTACTCGGTGACGAGTATTCGACACACATAAAGGAGATGGTCACGCAAGGCGTTTTCTTTCATGAGCTTTTCTGTGACTGAAAAGCCCGATACGTGATGTTATCTGCCTACCGCACTCCGGACATTCAAAAATCTCATTGCTTTGTTGCCTCTTTACTTTTTGGTTGCCGCTGTTAACTGAGTTTACAACCCTTCTCCACTGAGTTCTATTGTGAGCTGCCTTTTCCCACTCATTCTGCATGTTAATTCCCTTTAAATTTTCGTGGAAAATGTTCTTGTACCTTTTCAGTTGTCCACCTGGCCTTCTCTTACCGTCTACAAGCTCACCGTAAAGCAGAGATTTTGGCATGCGGTTTTCTTGCATTCTGCATACGTGACCAGCCCATCTTAAGCGGGATTTTGTGACCATGACTTCAATACTCTCGCAGTTAGCTTTTTCAAGGACCGATACGTTTGAGACATGATGGAACCACCGGATTCTTAAGAGTTCTAAGGTGTCTCTGTTGCAACTTGTTTAATGCGTTCATGTGTCGGCGGTACGGCATCGGCACCCAGGTTTCGCTCCCATATAACATGGTGGGGATTATAATTGCTCGGTACACTGCAAGTTTTGTTTTTGTACTCAAGTCATGATTGTAGAAAACCCTGTCTTTTAATTTCCAGAATGCTCTTGAGGCGCTACTAATCCTGTCCTGAATTTCAGAGTCAATATTGGCCCTTTCCGAAATGAAACTGCCAAGGTAATTGAATTCCGCCACATATTCCTGTAGTACTTCTCCGATTATTATAGCATTGTTGTGATCTTCCGGGGGAGTGCACATGATTTTAGTTTTGTCGATGTTTAGCTTAAGGCCCAAAGCCTCGTATGCCCAGGTATATGTGTTCAACATTTCTTGTAATTGTTGTACCGTGTTTGCAACTAGAGCGCAGTCGTCAGCGTATTGAAGTTCTGTGATAAATTTTGTACGTGTTTTTGCCCTGAGTCTTTTTATGTTGAACAGACCGCCGTCATATCGGTATCTAATGCCCAATCCTCTCTCCTGCAGTTTGCTGTCCACTATAATGGAGAGCGCTGCCATGAATATGTTGAACAGAAGAGGCGCTAATACACATCCCTGCCTAACTCCTGTATTTGTTAGGAATGGGTCGCTCAGTGATCCATGATGTGACACTCTTGACCTGTTGTTGTTATGGAGGCTTTTACACACCATAAGAAATTTGTTGGGTACTCCGAACTTTTTCATAATTGCCCAAAACGCATCTCTGTTCACAGAGTCGAAGGCTTTTGTTAGATCGCTAAATGCAACATAAAGTCTTGACGGATGGAAAATATGGAATCGACGGTGCCGCGGTTGGTATGAAAACCCGTTTGCGATTTCGAAAGGATTTTTTCTATATATGGGTGCAGGCGGTTTGACATTATTTTTGCAAGAATTTTTCCGCCGATAGCCAATAGCGAAATTCCCCGGTAATTTCCGCAGTCTGATGCACTTCCTTTGTTCTTAAATATATTCACTATGTTCGCGTTGCGAAAGTCCTGAGGTACCTCTCCCTACTTTTTACCACCCTGTCTAATACACATACAAAATTCAGTTTTTTAGTATTTGGAGCAATTATTAATAAACGCATACAGGGTGGCCCATCGAAAACGTTCCGCAAAGCATAACGGCCAGAGTAATTTTTTTTCAGAAAATTCAAAAACACGTCAATTTTGTTTGTGAGGGGGAAAACGTTTGCCTCAAAAATTATTGCAAAATCTTCAACCCTCTAAGCGGGGGTGTCACCCCCCATTTTTTTTCAAATGGGAAGGGGGTCAAGTGGCACCGCAATGAAAAGGGCTTTCTATTCTCTATACATTCCGGATTTGTTTTTGAAAATCGGCCGTGTCGTTGAGAAGATATGAAGGATTGAAATTCGAAAAGTTTATTTAAACATTTATCAGAGTAAATGATAAGGATAAATTCCTTCGACCAATTTGCTGTTCTTTCTTATTATTTCTAGATGTTTACGCATTTTTTCACTTGCCACAAGGTTGAAGGATCAGGTGCGGTAGTTGCTGTTCAGTGACTTATGCGTTGAAGTTCTCAATATCGTTAAACTTTTTAATAATTATGGTGTACTCACATGCAGAAAAAGTGGAAATAATCGAACTTTATTTTAAAAATAATGAATAAGGCAATCGATTTGCGCAGATATTCAATGAACACCATCCTGACAAACACCTTTATGGCAAAATTGTACGCGAGTTAGTAGCAAAATTTCGCGAAACTGGTTCCGTTATGAATAAAAAGAGGCAGAGGGAAAATCCTGTAGTAAATGAAGCTATGAGGTATTCGTGTTGGGCCAAGTTGCCATGGATAGTACGCTGAGTACAAGAAAATTAGCCAATGAGACCGGCGTGAATCGTACAAGTGTCCAAAGGATATTAAAAAAACACATGTTCCACCCGTACAAAATTGAGTTGTGACAAGAACTCAACGAAGACGATTTTGATCGTCGCTTGCAATTTTGTGAAACTATGGATGAACGAGTGGCGAATGATAATAATTTCCTATTTAATGTGTGTTTTTCGGATGAGTGTACTTTCTTTTTGAACGGTGTAGTTAATTGGCACAACTGTCGGTACTGGACTGAGGAGAATTCCAGGGTTTTTCACGAGGTGCAAAGGGTTTACAGAACCCTCAGAAATTGAACCTGTGGGCTGGTATTTTTGGAAATTCTATTGTGGATCAGTTTAACGATATTGAGAAGAACTTCAACGCACAAATCACAGAAGAGCTATCTAGCAACTATCGCACCTGATCGTTCAACCTTGTGGCAAGTGAAAAAATGCGTAAACATCTAGAAATAATAAGAAAAAACAGCAAATTGGTCGAAGGAATTTATCCGTATCATTTACTCTGATAAATGTTTAAATAAACTTTGCAAATTTCAATCCTTCATATTTTCTCAATGACTCGACCGATTTTCAAAAACGAGGCGGGGAAATATAGAGGATAGAAAACTCTTTTCATTGCGACGCCACTTGACCCCCTTCCTATTTGAAAAAAGTTGGGGATGACACCCCCGCTTAGAGGGTTGAAGATTTTGCAATAATTTTTGGGGCAAAAGTTGTCCCCCTCACAAACAAAATTGACGTGTTTTTGGATTTTTTGAAAAAAAGAATACTTTGTCCGTTATGCCTTGCGGAACGTTTTCGATGGGCCACCCTGTATAGTCAATTAATATAGTTCGAATACTGGGATCATATTAACTGGTCCTCTTTTACAAATATTTAAACAGTTTTTTTTTATTTTTTAATGAAATAATTATTTTGGTTATCCCAATGAAATAATTATTTTAGTTATTTATAATCCATATGCACGTTCATGGTGAATCTGTCGACACTTTTTAGCATTAAAATATGTATGTCTTATAGTAATTTTTACTTTTCAAATTTTATTCGAATCGGTAAAAGCACTTGGAAGAAATTTATAATAAATAAAAAAAAATGAAGCTCTTTAACCTCCTGCAGCTACGAAACAAAGCAGAATCGGACCCATGTTGATATGAAAAATAAATCTTATTTTTACCCACGAGGTCCCACGAGAGATGGCACATATTTTTTGAAACACCCTGTAATTATTGAATTATAGTGCTTACCTTCTGAAAGTACCGCAAAGCTCAAAAGCACTGCGAAATACTTCAATATGTGCGCCATGGTCTTTTTACAGGTTTAAGCCACCAAATCCTACGTTACACTTGTGAACCTTTTTATAAGTTATTCACAAATACTTTGGCTATTTTCGTAATCACTTGATATAAATCAGTACACTTTTCTATTAACTAACAAAAAGCAATTGATTTTAATGTCGAATTGTTTTTTTTTCTTAATCAACTGCGACAATATTATGTACCAGTTATAATTCAATTGTGTTTCAAATATAAAATATTTTTTATATATTTTTTTTATAACTAAGTATTTTAAGAGTGGTTTTTTTAATATTCTCTTAAAACATTTAAGAGGATTTTTTTTTAGAAAATATATTATTATACAAATATTGGTCTAGTTTAATCCTTGGGCAGTCGCGACCGGGCGCTTTGCGGTATTCCGTACCGCATTGATATTTTTTAAATATTCTATAATTTAAAATATTTCACCGTAAAATTTAACATGCAAAAAAACCGTCCTATTTAAATGAAATTTGGCATGTCGATAGATATAACCATAGACAAACAAATAAAAAGAAACTGGCAAATTAAATGGCAAAGAGAGGGACAACGTTCCCGTAGCGCAACTCAGGACGCAAAATTTCGTTGTATTTATGTTGATCTGCGCATTGCGTCTATTGGGCCCACTATCTCATTCTAATATAACAACAGAGAAAGAAGCATATAAAACGTAATTTCTAAATAGAAATTAGAACAATCGCCTTTCGTTTTCGTCATCATGACAACCAAGATGACAACATCATGACAATTCGTCATGTTTGTCAATTTTTCTTTTCGTGATTTACCTTTTTTTTCTAAATTCTCCATTTTATTGACTTATGAATATTGTTACGTTTTTCGTCGGTTCCGTGTGGATAGAAAGTCACAATTTACTTAAACACTATTTATTTAGCACTAATTAACAAAACTAATAACGATAAACGACTTATAGAACTATTTACAAACGATTTATAACTAAGAATTTATTTTGAATTTTAGCGCGTCAACTGTATATTTATAACTGCCCTCTCTAGGCCACTGCCGCCGGCTTTTATACCGACAGGTAAAAGAAATCTAGAATAGTCCAAAGATCGTTAGGCGCATAGAGAAGGTTTTCGAATGTTCTCGTATAGTCCATTCTAGTGGGTCTCGATTCTTCTCGAACGAATGAATCATTGCGGTGTCTATACGATGTTAAGGTCATCCGAGGGCGGGCCATATTGTGAGGTTAGGTCGAGTCCACACCGGCTCGCAAAACTGCCCCCTTCTTAGGCACATGCTCGTCCCGAGATGTATACGGTGAATGAAGGTATTTGCAAAGCTGGCCCCTGGTACATTGCGAAGTCTGGTAAAAATAGCAATCTACAGTTTTCTCCCGATCTCAGCTTTGGGTTGTAGCAGCAAACGAGGATCTCGATTCCCGTAAATCTGAACAAGACTTCAATCATGTTCCGGATTGTACGCCAACTCAAACCATCGAGTCCACACGCCAGCTTCGGAATGGCTAATCGTGCAATGTTGTTGTTTAGCAGGGCTTCTCTCAGTTCAATCAGGGTCTTCCATAGATTGAGATAAGTCGGCTTACTCGGGGACCATTCCTTGGTGACCAGGTAGAAGATGTGCCTTGCTTGACCATGTGCATTGTCGGTTAGCCTCAAGACGCTTCCAACCTCTGGATCCTGTCGGCGTAGTTCTCCGACACGCCCAAACTTCTCATTGAACGTCGCAGCGATTCCTCTGGACATCCGCAAATCTCGAGCCACACAATGAGCGAGCGAATAATCAGGAGGCACGGAAAAGAGGTCTCGTTGATCTTCTTTGGTTACACCATAGCGAGCCTTCTCACTGCTGTTGTATCGGGCCATGAAATCGTCAAAGGACATCTCCGAATCAGGGGGATCAAAGCTGCAGGTTCTCACGGTCCCAGCACGATCTTCTATTTCGCCTTGGTAGGGGCTCAAACGGTTGAAATGGACTACCCTCGGTTTTCCTTTTGGCAATTTTCTGATACGGTATACGACGTCATTAATTCTATCCATGACTTCGTATGGCCCTTCCCACGAGGATTGTAGCTTCGGAGATAACCCACGACGTCTCTGCGGGTTATATAGCCACACCAACTTCCCTGGTTGGTATCCTCCATGCTCAGCTTGAATGTCGTAGTGTTCCTTCATTCGGTCACTAGCACTTTGAATATTTAGGCGGACTCTCTGATGAATGTCGTCCATCCTTTGACGTAGTGTGTGGACATAATCTTCTCCGGCGACTTCTTTCTCCCGGTCGGCAACCAAATTTCAGATCACAGGGTAGGCGCACTTCCCGTCCCATAACGATGCTGGCTGGAGTTTGCCCTGTAGATTCTTGGACGGATGAACGGTAGGCCAACAGGAACAGGTGAAGAAATTTGTCCCAGTCTCTTTGGTGGTCAGAGACTACTTTGGCCAGATAACGGTTGATAGTTCTGTTCATGCGTTCAACCATCCCATCGGATTGTGGATGTAGAGCAGTCGTCCTGGTCTTGCGGATGTTCAGGACTTCACAGACGCCTTGGAACAGATTGGACTCAAAGTTTCTTCCCTGATCTGAATGAAGCTCCATGGGAACACCAAACCTGCAGATCCATTCTTTAACAAGGGCATCAGCAATCGTGGACGCTTCTTGATTTGGCAACGCGTAGGCCTCGACCCATTTGCTGAAGTAATCCATTACTACCACAATGTATTTGTTGCCATCGTTCGTCTCCGGGAAAGGACCAGCCACGTCGATCGCTATTCGTTCGAAGGGACTACCAACATTGTACTGGCGCATAGGGGCTTTACCACGCTTTTGTGGCCCATTAATGGCTGCGCAAATGTCACATTTCTTACACCAGGCCCTCACATCTTCTTTGCAGTTCACCCAGTAGAACCGTTCACGCACCTTGCCAAGTGTCTTGGTAACACCAAGATGTCCTCCGCTGGTTCCATTGTGAACGTCCTCCAAGACTTCTGGGACCCTCTTCTTTGGAATGACGATCTGCCTTCTCTCTTTTCCCTCCGGTCTCTCGATCACACGGCGAAGTAGTCCGTTATCTATTACCAAGGAATTCCACTGGGCCCAGTACGACTTTACGTTCGGCGAATATCTGCAAACTTCTTCCCACGTTGGTCTTTGGCCTGTGTTTTTCCAGTTAATTACTAAACCTAATTCTGGGTCACTGGTTTGGTCATTTGCAAGATCTCCGGGTTGCCAACTATCATTAACCACAGTTGTTCTTAGGAGTTTCACTTCTTTCTCTTCTGCTCGGGAACAATGCTTACAGTCCTTAGCGCAAGGTCTTCTGGAAAGTGCGTCGGCATTTCGATGGATTGTCCCAGCTCGATGTTCTGTGTCGAAGTCAAATTCTTGTAATCGTTCAATCCATCTAGCTACCTGCCCTTCAGGATTCTTAAACTGCAACAGCCATTTCAAAGCAGCATGGTCTGTTCTTAACAAGAACTTTCTTCCATAGAGATACTTGTAGAAGTGTTCCACTGCTTTAACTACTGCTAGTAATTCTCGTCTGGTTACACAGTAGTTCCTTTCCGGTTTTGACAAGGTCTTACTAAAATAACCAATGACTTTTTCTTGACCATCCTGGATCTGAGACAGAACAGCGCCTAATGCAACATTGCTAGCGTCGGTATCCAATATAAAGTTTCCGTTGCCAAGAGGGTAGCTAAGTATGGGCGCACTAGTCGGGGCCTTCTTCAATTTTCGGAATGCCTCGTCAGAATCTGAGTCCCAAGAGAAACGCCTCTCGCCTTCGGTAAGTCTGGTCAATGGTTTTTGCGATGGTGGCGAAACCCTGTACATAGCGTCGATAGTATGTGCATAGTCCCAAAAGCTTCGTAGTTCATGTTTATCTTTAGGTATCGGCCACTCTTCCACTGTCTTGGTCTTCTGTGGATCTACCGCAACTCCTTGGGAGGAGACTATATGGCCCAAGTAGTGTACCTTTTCTTGACACAGATGACATTTCTTGGGGCTAAGTTTCAAACCAGAACTCCCTAGTCGCTTGAAAACTTCTTCCAAATTCTTCAGATGATGGTCAAAGGATTTCCCAACCACTATGATGTCATCCAGGTACACTAAACAGGTAGTCCAGGATAGTCCCTTTAACACAGACTCCATTAGTCTCTCAAAGGTAGCTGGCGCGTTGCACAATCCAAAAGGCATGACGGTAAATTGCCACAGTCCGGAGCCCACCGAGAACGCTGTCTTCTCTCTGTCTTTCGGCGCCATGTCGACTTGCCAATATCCACTCTTCAGATCTAACGTAGAGAATATCGTTGACCCCGCCAGTGTGTCTAGAGTATCGTCTATCCTCGGCAGGGGATAGCTATCCTTCTTGGTAACATTATTGAGCTGCCGATAATCAACACAGAACCTGGTGGTACCGTCTTTCTTCTTTACTAGTACTACCGGCGATGTCCACGGGCTGTTAGATGGTTCGATGACACCCTCTTCTTTCATTTCTCGAAGGATTTTGTCAGCTTCTTCACGTTTGGCGAGCGGAAGTCTTCTCGGATTTTGTTTGATTGGTCGTGCATCTCCGGTATCAATTTTATGTTGTACTAAATTGGTACGACCTCTATCTCCTGCTTCTCCTTTATCAAACACATCTTGATACTTGATTATCAGGTTTCTCAATTTTCTTCTATTTTCGGGAGATAATCCTTTAACGTTTACTAACTCCTTCACCATTTTGTCCGGAATTTTTGAAGTCGAAACTTTGGAGGCTTCCACGCTTCGAACGACTGAGGAGACCGAACAACAGTACCCTAAGAGGGTTCCCTTCTTCAAGGATACAGAATAATAATTCGTGTTCATTACTCTCACCGGTACAGTTTTTTTCGCTCGTAGCAGGGCTTTTCCAACAGCGATCCCTCGTCCTATTTCGCTGTCATGGTTCCTTGGCTCCAACAGAATAATACTTCCATTATTCATTTTACCTTCTAGACAACCATCCAAAAATATCTCACAGCGCTCAGGGACCGAAACATCTTCTGCTACCACCACGCGAAGCGTCTCCTCACATTTTCGATGCAGAACCACTTCTTCTTCATTTATTTTCAAAATTCCTTGTTTGAGGTTTAGCTCAAAACCTCTAGTGGTCATGATGTCCATTCCGAGAATAAGTTCATCTTCGATGTCTGCTGCTAACACTCGATGATTAAAACAGGAGCTTCCTGTAGCTGTACGTAGTCGCCATTGTGTTGTTTTAATCCTTTTTGATGTTTTAAGGATATCCGGCCTGATGATCGTTTTGGTCGCACCCGTATCCAAAAGCATGGTTCCTAACTCTCCATCCACGAAACCATCCACAAAAATGCTGTTGAACTTATGTTGTAGCGATGCGACTTGAGCAGTTTTTGTTGGAACCTGTTGGGTACTGCTCGATATGTGTCCCTTTGATTCGACACTTGGCGAAACCGGGTCCACGTCTTTTTCTTTACAGTGACTTCTTACGTGTCCTGCCTGGCCGCAATTCCAGCAACAAGTCGGTCCTTTCTTGCCCATGTACTCCTCCATGACTTTCCGCACAATGCTTTCCACGGATTCGTCGGAACATTGGTTGACCGCCCGTACTCTCACTAGAGACCGAGAACTTTGTTTCGCGGCCTCAAATTCTAGGGCACGTGCTAAAGCATCCACCAAGTGCGTTGGATGGGCTAGGAGAAGTGCTTGTCTTGTCTCGTTATCACGTAAGCCGTCGGAGAATGCCTGTACAGTAATACCCCGGACTTACGCGATAGGTGGGACTGAGCGCTATCCGCGTAAGTCGAATTCGCGTAAGTCGGGGTACAATTTTGCATATAAAGACATACAAAGTATGTTTAATTGGGACTGGAGACTAAATAAAACAATAATTTAGGAAATAATTAGTATCTAATTCTAAATAATATGACAATACAATATACAAACTATATTAATAGAGTGTATAAACACAATCCGAAGTTATTTTGATGTAGAAGGTTTCATAAATTGTAACAAAGTCGTCTGACGAGTCAATGATTTTTTCTTCTCCCGTAATATCTCCTCGTAGCATCCTAGTAATTTTTTTATTCCATGTTTTGTAACAAAACTGCGCTCTTCATTGGAGTCTATGCTTTCCAAAATTGTTAACCCTTTTTCAATCGAACTGAGGGCTTCTGTCAAGTTTCCAACTGTCATTTGATCTTCTAATTGAACTGGATCCAAAGAATCATGATTATCAATTTCTTCCTCTTGTTCACGCATTGTTATGAGCTCATCAATTGTAAGCTCCTCATTGTGTGAATCCAACAGCTCTTGAACATCATCACTATCCACTTCTAAATTTATTTGTCTACCAAGTTCGACAACGTCTTTGATCACATTGCAAATTTCATCAGGCCCTGACACTAATTCCGCCTGAGTCATAGTGGAGAAAAAAAATGGACAGAGTTTTTTCCAGACGCCATTTAAAGTTTTTTGTGAAATTTCATTCCAAGATTCTCCAATGATTCTCACTGCTTCTAAAACGTTGAATTGTTTCCAAAATTCTTTAACAGAGAGCTCGTTGTTTTGTCTCATAGCTTCATGCAGATGTGCAAACGATCGTCTCGTGTAATAAGCTTTGAATGTTTTGATAACGCCCTGGTCCATCGGTTGAAGCAAGCTGGTTGTATTTGGTGGCAAAAATTCAACTTTCACACGTGGGTCGAAACTAGTTAAAGTAGCAGGAGGATGACCTGGCGCGTTGTCGATTAATAGCATCACTTTAAACGGGATTTGTTTAGACTGGCAATAACGTTCGACTTCAGGTATGAAGTGATGACCAAACCAGTCTTCAAAAAGGGAGGCCGTCACCCAAGCTTTACGATTCGACTTCCAAATCACGGGCAAACCAGCTTTAGATTTGTTTTTCAATGCTCTTGGATTTTCCGAGCGATAAACTAAGAGAGGTTTTAATTTAAAGTCACCAGCTGCATTCGCGCCAAGCATCACTGTCAATCGATCTTTGGCGGCCTTAAAACCTGGAAAAGTTTTCTCTTCACGCGCAATAAAAGTTCTTTTAGGCATCTTCTTCCAAAATAGGCCAGTTTCATCTACGTTGAATATGGTTTGGCTGGTATAGCCACCTTCATTTATCATAGCTTTGAGTTTCTCTGGATAGAGAGATGCTGCCTCTTTATCTGCACTTGCCGCCTCTCCACTTTCTGCAATGCTATGCCAGTTACAGCGACTTTTGAACCGGCTGAACCAACCGTTACTGGCTTTAAACGTTTCATCTTTAGCCATCTCCCCAGCTTCTTCTTTTAATTTCTCAAAAATTTGTTTAGCTTGAAAGCACACCGTGTTCTGATCAATAGGACAATTTTTCACACTTACTTGATTATCACACCATAATTTTAACAATGTTTCCATTTCAGCGATAATACCATGCCGTTTACGAATGATGCTTGAATTCAAAGACTGAGCATTTTTCACAGCTTCGAGAATTTTTTCTTTACTTTTCGTAATTGATCTGACTGTCGATTCCGGAAGTTCATACTTCTTCGCTAAATCACAAATTTTTATTTTTGCATCGTAGTCTTTAATAATGTTAAGTTTACACTCCAAAGATAATGTTTTTCTCTTCTTGTTTAAAGCAAAAGAGTCGGTTCTACTTCGTTTGGATGCCATAGTACTTAGTAAATATCTCAGGTCGTCGCACAACGCACAAAAAAACACAAAATCGTAACTTATGTACCTACGCGCCGATTCCGCACTACACGTATGTGCTTGTTGTAAACTGAACGAATAATAATGCGGGCGGGGGGAGTCAGAAACAAACGCCGCCGCTTGACCTTGACTGCACGGCGTTCAAACAAAAAACGAATAGACGAGAAAATTAAATCGCGTAACTCCGAATTCGCGTAAGTCGAGGTAGCGTAAGTCGGGGTATTACTGTACTGCCAACCGCTCCATAACATTCTCTGGCGTAGCAGGGTACGCAAGGCGAACGAGGCGGGCTACGTCGGCTTCAAACTCCTGCAGAGACTCATTTGACTTTTGAATGCGATTTTTTAGCTGGGAATGATAGACATGTTCCAAATGAGCTTGGCCGTACCTCATTTCTAAATGTCGTACCAATTGCTGATAATCTCCCCTGTTCCGATGGTGACAATGTCTGCAGAATATCAGTCGCATCTCCTCGCAGTGCGACAGTCAAAGCGGTAGCCTTTTCAGCGATTGTCCATCCGTTCGCTCTCGCAGCGGCCTCAAACTGGCAAAAATAATTGGCCCAAGCGGTTTTTCCGTCAAACTGTGGAGGCTTAATAACTGACTTTGAGATATACTTATTTTCGACTAGTTTCGGTGCCTCCGATGTTTCTTGACATTTTGGTGAATTGGCCTTTTCTATTTCTTGTTTTAAAATTTCGATTTTTTTATTTACATCGTCCTCAATTTGTGTTATTTTGTCTTGTAGCTCCGTAGAATTCTCTATCATCTTTTCTTCTAATTCCCTGGAATTTTCTGTTATCTTTTCTTCTAAATTAAGTATTTTATTATTAAAGCTGGCCTGTATGTCTTTAGAATTTTCTGAGATCTTATCTTCCAAAATATTAATTTTATCACTGATTTTCTCTTCTAAATTAACTTCCAAGTCAATTATTTTACTATTCAAATTGTCGTTTAAATTGTCTTGCAATTCTCGGGAATTTTCTGTAATTTTGTCATTCAAACTGTCTTCTAATTTTTGAGAGTTTTCCGTCATTTTATCTTCTAATTTCTGTAGGCACGAGTCAAGGTCACCTTCGAACTCAAAGCAAAATGTGTCCGGATCCTCGCCTTCCTCCCTCAAAACGTCTCTCAGTCTGGTTTGCAAAATGCTTTTCTTTCCATCTGTCTCGCACTCTCTCTCTTCCAATATGGATTTCAGTTCGGACACTTTCAACTCTTTCAACAATTTCTTCGGAGCCATTGTTAGTCCTTTTATTTTTTTAGTCTATCACACACGCCACACCTGACACCAATTGTTACGTTTTTCGTCGGTTCCGTGTGGATAGAAAGTCACAATTTATTTAAACACTATTTATTTAGCACTAATTAACAAAACTAATAACGATAAACGACTTATAGAACTATTTACAAACGATTTATAACTAAGAATTTATTTTGAATTTTAGCGCGTCAACTGTATATTTATAACTGCCCTCTCTAGGCCACTGCCGCCGGCTTTTATACCGACAGGTAAAAAGAAATCTAGAATAGTCCAAAGATCGTTAGGCGCATAGAGAAGGTTTTCGAATGTTCTCGTATAGTCCATTCTAGTGGGTCTCGATTCTTCTCGAACGAATGAATCATTGCGGTGTCTATGCGATGTTAAGGTCATCCGAGGGCGGGCCATATTGTGAGGTTAGGTCGAGTCCACACCGGCTCGCAACAATATGGATAGGGAACAAATTGATTTGTTCCCATAGACTTAAAATAAAATATAGACTACACTATTTACATATCAACGCGGACAAACAACCTTTTTTGTACACATGTTTACTTCTGGGTACAGTCGACCGAGCCTTCCTCATCCAGCCTATGTTGTCACGTCTTTAATATTATCAATATTTTTTTTGTTGTTATACACATATATTGAGATATTAATACTACAGTTTAATAAAGTAGGTTTTAATATTCCATAGATGTATTAAATAGTCCTTATACTACTAAATTATAAGTCGGATACTGTTTAATAAGGATAAGTTCTTTACAATATGACAACACCGATTAGAGGCGAGGGAGCCTATTCATTCATTTATTACCTTGTAGTACGTGTCGCACGTGTGCGGTAAAGCTTTGTTGCCGCTATCTCCCCGGCTGTATTAACGCATTTTCTTAGCTTGTAGTCCTTAAGTGTTTATTTTATTGACTTTTTCTGTTCAAAAACTATAAAATATGGTTCGCCAGTGCCAAATTTGCAAAGAAATTTGACTTAAATAATCCATTTAAGTCTTGAAACAACTTTTGACCGGTAGGCAACTCTCAATTTACCCATTGGCAGTCAGTGGCGTTGTTGTAGAAAGGCGCTTATTTAGATAATATTTTAGTAAAATGTAAAATCTGAAATTTTTTCTTTTACATTACATTATTTACTTACTTACATTGTAACAAAATCATAATTATAACCCTGTTAATAATTAATAATGTTTTTATTAAAAATATATTCCGGTTTATTCTAAAATTATCTTCAGAATCTAAAATACCATACAAGAATTTTAAAATGATATTACATTATGAAACAATATTTTTTAATATACCGGGTCGTCTCAAAAGTGGCTCAACCCTATAACTTTTTTATTTTTTCAGATAAAAACAGATTTGTATGTTAGTAGGTATATGATATAAATTAGGATTTATTGACGTATTCAATTGTTTTTGGTCTCTTCCTGTTTTACCGAAATGATTACATCTTTTTTTTTAAAGGCACCCTCGGCATATTGCTACTTTATTCGATAAAAATGACACTCTGAATAGAATGACATATCATATGTCAACTTTTGACATTGTCGCTTAAAAACATATCCTATTTTAAATTTCAATCCAGTTTTTTTTCAATCCACTAAGTTTTAATCAAGGAGCCTTGGAAAAATAGTTTTGATCGTCTAATAGGTTTCGTGTCTTGTCTAGGCCGGTTAAAAGATGTACAAATCGTATTTTTAATCATACATATGTCAATTTTTCAAATGGAACAAGGGTGACTCATTAGCATATTTGGAAAAAGCATTTTTTATGAATATATTGATACCACACACTTGGTATTTCGAGTCAAATTGTCGTTATGAACCGCGTGTTACAATTACAATTAAACCATATGCGAAAATGTCAAAAGTTGACATATGATATGTCATTCTATTCAGAGTGTCATTTTCTATCGAATAAAGTAGAAATATACCGAGGGTGCCGTTTAAAAATTAAAAGTTATAGTCATTTCCGGTGAAACAGGAAGTGACCAAAAACAATTGAATGCGTCAATCAATCCTAATTTATTTCATATACTAACATACTAAAACTTGTTTTTTTATTTGAAAATATAAAAAAAAATATGGGGGATGAACCACTTTTGAGACGCACCCGGTATAATAAAGACAGTACCGAGTTAAATAAATGTAGTTTTTATTTTATCCACTTCCTATCACCTTCCTTGCTTTAATGGAACAGATTTATGTTTTCTCTAATTTACATAATAAGACATCACTTAACCAGAAAAAAAATTACAACAATCATATTTTTTTTCTCTCCCTGTCGCCGATTCTATTATATCTGTGGAATAGATCCTGTTTTGATTAATATTAGGGGTTGTAAATGTTTGACTAAAATTAATAATTTATTATTAACTTCAAAAATTACCTAATTTCGATTATAAAATTTCTTCTATAACGTGTATTTTATTATTTTTATCCTTTTTGGACTCTAAATTGTTTTTTCTAAACTTTTATTTAAAAAACCTGTCCTAAATCTTAATAAAATATAAAAAAGTTTAAATACGATATATTTTTAATTTAATTATAGCTTCATTAAAATAAAAAAATTACCCGGCTATGATACGGAGAGTTCAGGTGTACTTGAGAAACGAAAGACAGTGTTGTGCAGGCGGATGAAACTGCCATTTGAATTTTGGAAACACGGCGGAGTTTCTGCCAGTAGAGGGATAGATGGCGCTGCGTAGAAATTTCATCTAAAGTCCCTAGATATTCATCTAGGGACTTTAATTTCATCATGATTTTATCAAGTCATCCACAGAGTATAGTTTAATTAACAATTCGTTTGATTCTCTGTGGAGTAATTGAAGTAGTTGGAGTAGTTGAAAAATATAAATATTTATATAAAATGTTGATAATTTAACAGTGATGTGCTTTGTTACCCTATGAATAAACATTGATATGAAGTTGCTTTCGCCAGAAACAATTATAATTAAATAATTTAATAAAAATTTAATTTCTAAGTGACCCGGATCAGTTAGATCAGTAAAATAAATTGAAAAATAAACGTCATTCCATATTTGGCAATGTCTGTCAGTTTCTGTGAAGTGGAAGTGAATTGTGATTTGTTTTATGGGAATATTTTACGGATTTTTGCGAATTTAGAGTATTTTGGACGATAGGATTGTGAAATTTAAAAGCCAAGTAGTTTTAGTATATAAGATTAATTAATCCCTGTGATAATTTTTATGAAATTTCTCATAATCAAAACAAATTCTTTCAACAAAATGGCTGTCTCAGAAATTTGGAAGATCATTAATTTTAAAGTTTTATTTAAGTGTATTTATATCGAATCAAGAATTTGTATAACATATTAAAAGCTTAACTCTAAAGGTTGTGCAGTAATTTATGTAAGTGTACGCTTTTAGATAAATATTAAATATACAAATTTGCAAAGACAAACAAGTAATTTTAAAAAGATCATTTATTTCTTTAAACGAGTATAATCATTAATCATTAGGTTGAAAATATATTTGTATTTACTTATTTATATATTTTCTATACCCTTGTATTATTTATAAGCCCTATATGTCCTGTTTTATTTGAAAAAAAAATGCTTCGAGTCATCGAGAATAGATTTAATAACAATTTTGTCCCTTGGCTTTGTGTATTATATAATGTGAATTGTAAGATGTTTCTATTTGAATAGGTCATTAAAGTTGAGATTAAAGTTATACCAAATTATATTCACGTAACTATATGTCTTTTATATAATGAATTATTTATTTATAATTTATAACCTTTTTTATAATTACTTATAAGTGATTGTATAAATTCTGATAACTTTTATATATACTTGTATAGTGTTGAATGTGTTATATGTAATTTTATTAACAATGTTATAATAAAATAATCAAGTTACAAATTTTTCGTGTTTTATTCTAATTTCAGGGACAATTTCAACCTAGATTATTAATTTATTTGTATCAAAATACATT